CTCTCCCCCCTCTCTCTCCCCCTCTCCCTCTCCATCTCCCTCTTTCTTTTCTCTCCCTGTTGTATTCCTTCACCTAATCGCCTCTGCCCCCTCCCCCTTCCTTTGCCCCTCTCATATGTAAACTGATAGGCAGCAGTGGGTTTCCTTGGCGTTCAGGTGGCCGTGCGGGTAGGGGCGATCTACATACCAGCACTCAACTGACCTCCCCCCTCTCTCTCTAATTAGTGCAGTCGATAAGGGCATGTGTGGCCCGCCAAGGGCTACCGCCACCGCTCAGCTCAAAGGCGGCCCACCGGAGCACGCGGTTGCCGCCCGGTTTGTCATCGTTGGGTAAAAGGGCCTCGGTTTTCTTTCTTTTTCCGTCGAGTTTCCCTCACACCTGCCGGTCCTATATACGTTGCGTTAGGATCTCGTGCCCGGGAGAGAGCGCCTCGTTCTCTTGTCTTCTTTGATATTTCGCTCGCGGCTCGTCGGCCATCTTGGAAATTATTTTTTTCTTGTCGCCGCGGCCTCTCGCGGTACTGAGAATCCTCGAGCAGAAAGTGGTCTGGTCATGTCAAGTGAACTTCTCTCTGCAGCATCCCGATCAGCTGTGGCACGCTGCACGGCAGGCTTTTTCACACCGTGAAATTCAAGGAGGAGAGACAGAAAAGGGGGGGGGGGCAGAGAGTCGTTCGTTGCAGCCGAGTGCAGCAGATCTTTTCTTTTTTTTTCGGTTTCGTCTTTTCTTTTCAATTTTATTCTACCTTTTCTTAGCGCAACGTCGGTCAGGAGCGGTCAGTGCAACGGTGGCGGCGGCCGGCCAGTTCGTGTCGGAATCCGTGGAGCCAACCACTTAGCTTTGAGAATAGTAATAGCATACCGTGTGACAGACGCCAGACAGGACGTTTTCGCTTCAAGGAGAACGAAGGAGAAGGGGGTCACTGAAAAAACACATGAGATTAGTTGCGTACGTTTTGTAAAGTGGGCCCTCATGGAAAAAATAACAAGCTGTGTATAGATTAATCCAATAGCTACATTTGAAATAATTACTTTGATATGTGGCTAAAAATGTAGCTGTAGCGACTTAGCTAAATTTGTAACCAGTCACCCCAAATTTTAGCTAGACAGCAAACTCTTTTGCTACCCAAATTTTTAGCTACATAGAACGACGTTGAGGACTCGGGACGCCGGCGGCACGCGTTGGCTGGCTACTCGTCGTGGAAGATAAGCTGGCCTCCGCCGGTCGTAACGTTGTGTGCAGAACCAATCGAGAAAAGGGGGGGGGG